GCTGTTCTTTTGAACTTCCTATTCATCAAAGAATCCAAAAAAAAAAAAAAAACTGAACAACTGACAGACCAACAACTGTTTCAACATTGATAATAATAATAAATGTTTCTTGAGCATCAAATCCTCATATTATACTGATTTGTGAAGGATCATTTGACACTGAAGACACTGACACTGGTGATGCTGAAAATTCAGCTTTGATCACAGGAATAAATTACACTTTACTATATATTCACACAGAAAACAGCTGATTTACACTGGAATAATATTTAATACTATAACTGATTTTTGTTGTATTTTTAATCAAATAAGCGCAGCCATGGTTAGCAGAAGAGAATTCTTTTAAAAGTATTTAAAATCGTACCGACCCCAAACTTTTGAACGGTAGTGTATATATATATATATAGTACAATTTAAATGTAACATTTCATTATATTTTTTATTTGGTATAAAAAATTCCCTATATTCAGTAAATAAAAATCATTGTATATTTCTGTGTATTCATATAATTTATGTAAATGCACAGACTGTATTTTTTATACTTTCGGACATGCTTGCCAGCAGAATAAGAGACCTACGAGTTTGTAGAGTTCTTTATTGAGCATTAAGATTAAAGATGGTTCAGCATGTTCAAGGACATGGATTTGCTTTAATGGCTTCACTATGAACTGCAAAACGATATTAGTAATGATGGGAGGTGAAGGAGACAAGAAAGACTGAAATTTGTGTTTGCTGAAATAAGATATATGAATTGTAATGCCCTAATACCAAAGGACACAGACATCAAAGGATCTACTTCTAATGTTAATGCAAAGCCCACTCTACCAGTCATTTTAAGTTGTTGGGTCCATATTGATATGTTTGGACATTTGCTACAAAAAAAAAAAACACAACAGGCAGTACAGACAGTGACAAGCTGTCATTTACAATCAAGTAAAAAATCACACTGTCAATTTACAATTTAAATCAAGCCAGCCATTATTATCTTTCTGGAGCAGCCACAAAATTGTCGATCCGTAGGATGATTGAATTGGACGGGTGCGTTTCATTCTCGTTTCACTTGTATTACCAACATTAGTCTGCACTATTTTTGTCACAAGCCATAATCAGGGTGTCCATGATGATGTTCAACACATAATGTATTTATTTTACTGTTTATCCAAAGATTATCTTTTAGGCGATTTAGGCATTTAGCTTTGTGCAGCAGAGGCTACTATCTAATCAAAGCAACACCCTGAAAACCCAGACTTATTGAGTCTATTGTTCAAAGCAGAACAGAAACTAAATCCAATTTGAGCCAGTTTAGGGGTCTTGCATCTGACATAATCTTGCTTTTACAACCTCATTACAGTCTCTTGAGGCAGGTACAGCAGATAACGTTTCAGGTGTAGACAGAGGATGTTAATTTAAAATCTCATTCAGTCCTACACAAGTGCCTCGAATGGCTCAGACAAGAATATTATTTTTTTCATAGTGTCTGATGTATGGGATGGATAAGAAGACTTTTTTTGGTTCGATACATTTAGCCAATTTCCTTTATCTTTCGCTTTTCTTCTCAAAATATTAAGACACTTTGAAAGCGGCAATAATTGCAATTCTACATTATTTGGCTCATTTTAAAACAAAACAAAATTATAGCTGGTGATTGTTTGGCACTAAAAAGATGAATAATTTGGAGTGATGTTGCACATTAATTATAGGTTATGGCCAACAGACATATTGAGACTATGAAAAAAAAAGGAAAACAAAGGAAAATAATGTTGCAGGGTCTGTTGGCAGGTGGCCTCGCAATATTAGCAGTGTGACACATGCCATGGTTCACTGTGGTGCACTTGTTACAGCTGTGTTTCCACCACAGCTGCCCTCTAATTGAAGAGTGTTTCCATGACAATCCAAAGATAACAGGACAATCAAAGGAATAGAGGGTATGCGCATGACGTCAGCGTCGGCCGGAGTGAATGCGGTCACGCCCACAAGTGGCAAAAAGACTGAGCGGCAGCATTTGTTTTCAGCGTGAACGCCGTGAAAATCACACAAAACACATCTAAAACGGGAAAGAGCTTTGCGATTGACTGTACAACTAGATTTGACCAGAAATCTGAGGTACTGTATATTTTTACAGACTGCAAAAAGCTACAGAACAGACTATATTCTGCATAATTGGATGTTTTTAAATAAACACTGACAAAAAAGTATACAAGTTTTAGGGCTGGACGATATGATGATATACAGTATAACATTAATGTAAGTGATCACTCGGATTTAGACCTATCTATATTGTATTTATATAAAACGTTTACAGGCAAATTGTCTTCATTTATTTCCCCGGCGTCGAAATCAGGCACATATAAATGTCAGGAAACACGATTCCTGGCTGCATGTCAATATCCATGGATCACTGGATCTTTGATAAGTTGTAAGGAACACTATATCGAGTCCAACTTTTAGTTTAAACTGATAATAGTTTGTTTTACTCGCGTTAACGCAGTTTCCCCTATTAACTCCAGTCACGCAGCAGCTCTTCTGCCACTCAGTCCCGCTGAGGGGGGCGTGTTTCGGCGGGGAAGTGACGTTAATGCATTCCCTCTATTTGTATGATGGGATTCAGGTTAAAATGGCCTTAAAACATCTGTTCTGAAGCATGCAGCCCATGTTGTGCAACAATCATAGATGTGTTCAAAATTACCTAAATTTTAATATTGAGTTTAATTTAAAAACTTTAAATCAAGGGGAAAAAAAACAAAACAAAAAAATATGAAAATAATATAAAATGTTGTCATAGTTGCCATATTGTGACAATATCTTGAGATGAAATTATAAGGCTTTACTGTGAGACTTATAAGGCTTTACTGTGAGACTTATAAGGCTTTACTGTGATTTTGCACCTGTTTCTGTAGTGCTAACAGATAATAAGCTGTATCTGTGTGTGTGGCTTCCTGTTGATATGTCAAGTTTCCCCCTCTGCCAGTTTTAAATGAAAGTGTTTTCTGGTTTGTTCTACTGAGCTACATCAAACTATACAATATTTCTTGAATGACAATAGTTCATATTACAAAAACTGAGAGCAATTAGGAACAAGAACCTAAAGATATGTTAAATGGCATTTTATATTATAAAAAAAAAAACTAGAATGCATTTTCAGTTTTTATTATAGGCTTTCTGCTAAATATATGTTAAGGTAAGATGAGTTTTATTATTATAGACAACAGTTAGGCTAATAGAATCTATATTTGTATTTGATGTCACATACTTTATCAAATCCTTGTAAATGACCAAATAGTGAATACATGAATACAGCAAACATAAATAACATAGTATCAGTATAAAGCTAAACCAAGAAGTTTTCGACTAAACAGACCACATACTTCCACAACAAGTGTTTGTATCCCTTAGATAGCATATCTGAAACGTTAAAGATATTAATGATTTAAAGAATTTGGTTTTGTCTACTGAGTGAAACTTATGAGTAACACATACAAGATCATGAGATATGAGGATGATACGAGGATATGATGACACACAGATCTTACTTAGTATCTGCCTTTGTGAATCTGATAAGTTTCTTCCTGCTCCAAAAGGATTCATGAATGGCCAGCACTGGTTATGAACTGTAAGAGAGAACGATTTCATCTATCCACATAAAAACCTAAAAATCACACAAACAGAACGTCGAACACAAACATGTAATGTGACTTACAGTTACAAGTCCGCCACAGTCCAGAATGTGAGCTCAGGGACAAAGATGAGCTGTTTTCTCTCTTAGAAGTGTCAATGATGTACCAAAAATCGGTTCCAATTGCCAGAACGAGACCTACAAAACTGAGGACACAAAAGGTGGCCACAAAACTGGCCAAGCCTTTGAAAGTGACTTTCATTGTGTCTGAATACAGCTTTCTAATCTGCACTGCTTGAAGAGAAACTCCTCCTTTCTCGCTACCTTGAGTACCGGTATGTTCCTTTCCCTCAGCGTCGACGCTACCCATCTGTAAGCCCCTCGCTGGATGCTGTGCTGTTTACCCATTACTACTATAGGCTATGCGATTTCACTGAAAGAGGGCAGTATGCTCCACTTTCAGATGCGCGCGAGTGCGCAAATACCGCTGGTGATTGTTAAAAAACACAAACATTATTAGATATAGACGTAATTGCAACATATAATTCCCCCTCGAGTATGCAAACCTTTGTTTGTTTGTATTAGACTACCATAGGGATCTCTGAATTGATTGGTCTTTCAGCCTTTCAGAGTCCAGTAAGTGTCAGGCTGGTTTCTCTTCATCCGTTTACGATCAGAAAACTAATATTAGTTTTTACAAGTTGTAGTCATTTTAGTTCAAACAAAACAAATCGGTTTGTTTATAAATGTGCCAAATAATAAAATAATATGGTAACACCTTAATTTAATGTGTCCTACACATGTATTTACTAATAGGCATAATGACTAAAAATTAGGCACAATTACATAACTAACCCCGAACCAAATATATAATATAACTCGGTACTGAAATGTAGCCTATAATTACACTGCAACAGGGACACATTAAAATAAAGTGTAGTCAGTAATAAAAAACGAAATTTAATTTTGGGGTCATGATTGCATTTATACATAATAAGCATCTTATCATTAATTTATAATAATATGAATAATAAACGTTGTATTAATAACAAGTATTATCATATCAATATAATCAACAATAATGAATTATTATAGCCTAATAACTAACACACATTGTAAAAAAGAGTTGATAATAATACAATTATTTCAGATTATAAATGTGCCAAATAATAAAATAATATTAATAAAAATGAAATAAAGTGAATAAAGATTATAAAGTGTCAAGTGCGTTCTGCTGTGGAACTGTTTTCAGAAGGTTTTTACACACACGGTCTGCTTTTAATGTAACACTAATGCAAGTCTAACCTCTCGTAAGCTGCGTATAACCTTTATCTACGGTATCTCTTCATATTATTACGCTCATATTTTAGTATGATCTAATGCACTTGACTACACTACAAAATATGTAAACTCCTCCTCGACATCTACTCGGTAAATATCAACTACTCTCTGTTTAGCTTCCTGGTTAACCCAAAAAATTAAGGGAACGGTTAGAAAGAGTATTTCTTGAACGCATGGTCACGCCCACTTTAAGATATTTCTTCTACTTAGAAAAGAATAATCGCTTTCAATCGAGCCCAAACAAAAGCTCTATGAAATCAAAAGTCTCAAGTGGTCTGGATCCTTCACCAGACCACTTGCTTATTCCCTTTAGAGTAGAACTGTCTGAAAATAGTCTTAAAATAGTTTTCCATTCGTGTAGAATTCCAGACTTATAATCTCTCCGACTGCATGCAAGAAGGACGATGAGGTATTTGATTGAAATTGCCCTGTTCCCCAGAGTTCGACCTTGATAGGGTGCCATGCAGGGGTGGTCATGGACCAGGTCACATTTAGAAGTGACACTGTTCTGTCTGATGTGCACCTGCTGTTACCAAACGCTTGCCATCTCATGAAGAGACTCAACGGCGTAGGACAGCCAGGTAAGGAGAGCTGGGAGACATCTGTGCATCTTATTGCTTATGCTTTGATTGTATACTAACTACCTACTGTAGGAATTGTCCATTTTTTACACAATCTCCCAAATATGATCATCCTCGTCTGAGGGACCCTCATCCTAAGACTTAAAACTTAAAGACAGCTATATATTTTATGATTTATAAAGACCAAATCAGCATAATATAGCTAATGATTTCTGAAGGATAATGTGGTGGGTCTTCCCAGCTATTTCATGCATGCTATATTTAATATGCATACTGTGCACAGTGTATATACCACAGGTGAATGCGATTTTACCAAGTAGAACATCCTTGTTGATCCTGGAACAACATTCCAGTCAACCAATGAGATGTACTGTTTGTGTTACATAGTAGTTTTTTTCATAGTAGCAGGGTCACAAACCAAAAATGAGTTGCAGGTCTGTGGTGTCTTCCTGGTATTTCATGCATACTGTGCACAGTATACACACACTAAATACTGCATGTGTAGGTGTATGTTAGTATGCTATTCTGAGCCTATAGCTATTTCCTTTACACCATGTTTTGTTTTGTTTACTTGCAATTTCTTGCTTTCTGCTTTTTTCCATCACTTGACACTTATTTTTGGCATGATTACAGATAACAAAATTTCCGTGCTCTGTATTACATGTATGAGAGTTTATCTTAACTGACTAAAACCTTTTGTGTTAATAGCCTTGTCCCGTGTCTATTTGGTTTCCATGTGTGCCTTAAGTATTTATGCACTGACTGTTAACCATTCCCTGTACACAGGTTTACCTTTAGAAAGTTATTTACCTATGAACTTAAGAATGACCAGCAGGTAGTCAATTCAAACTTATAATCACACACACATACACGCTTAAAGTAGGATTTTCTTATGTGGCCAAACTGAATAAACACAGCAATTTGTTCCATTGTTTTTGCAAAGTATTTTTTTCCAATGTGTTCAGGGTTGATAATGCCAGAGCTCTCAACATTTATCACTGCAAGGTTCTGTTATTTTTATTTTAAGGTTTAAAAACTGTGCAATAGACAGCATTACTGGGTGGCCTATTCTGGCCTTTAAACTCCAAATGTGAACATGAGCGCAGTTGCATAGGCTGAGATTCATTATCCTCATTTCTCACCAAAGCAGCTAGGCTCAAATGAAGCTGAAATTATACTGTATATACGACCTATCACTACTCTTAGAAAAACAAAAAGAGCCTGATTTTGAACAGCAGAGATGAGATGACTTTTACAACGCTAGACTGGAGCTTACACTGTAAAACCGAGCCTTATGGTTCTGCTCTTGAATAATAAGATGCATGCTGTGCGAAATCCATCAGCCAGAAAGCTCCATTTTAAACGTTTGACTCTCAGACTCAAAAATTAGTTGCAGGTCAGTTCTAATTGTGAACAGCAGGGAAAACAATGCTAAATGCAGATAATAAAATGCATTAATAATATAATTATGCATTGCATACATTGCCATTCAAAAGTTTGGGATCAGCAAGTAATCTACTTAAAATAAATGCTGTTCTTTTGAACGTTCTATTAATCAAAGAATCCTGAAAAAAAATGATCACTGTTTTCACAAAAATATTAAGCAGCACGACTGTTTTTAACATTGATAGTAATAATAAATGTTTCTTGGTCACCAAATCATCAAATTAGAATGATTTTTGAAGGATCCTGTGACACTGAAAACTGGAGTAATGATGCTGAAAATTGCCATCAACTGAATAAATTACATTTTAAAATATATTAAAATAGAAAACAGTTATTTTAAGTTACTAATATTTAAAAATATTGTTTTTACTGTATTTTACATCAAATAAGTGCAGTTTTGGTGAGTACAAGATACTTCTTTCAGAAAAAGCCCAAACTTTTGAACATTAGCATATAAACAAAATAAACCTTTAAATTTACAATAGTCAAAAAATTATTTAAAGGCCAAACAATGTTTTAAAAAAAAATTAAGTCAGTTTGGTTTCAAGAAATCTTGACTAACCTTATAAATGACCCTAATCAGTTTAAAAAAAGTATGTGTCTTTCAGTTGTGAATGTAGAAAGATTTACAGCCTCTTCGGTAAAGCATACAAATCAGTTTAATCAATACCTTTTGTCTTTTTTTTCCACTACCACGAATAAAAATCCATCTAAATGATGTAGAGACTCTTTTCTTAGTACTGGATCAATGGCCCAGTCAAATGGCACCAGACAGACTAATACATGGTTATTACCACTGCAGAAAAGGCAGAAATCACATATCTACTTAGTGCAATAATTAGCTCATCACACTGTAGCTGACTTAAGATCTTTGCATCTGCTGTAGCTGAGGCTGGTGTGACTGTTCTAAGCCAGTTATGAGTTCACACCTTTTGTGTATTATCTAAAAATGGATTGGCATTTGTATGTCTAGTCTTCACTTCAAAGTTTAGGATTCTGCGGGATTACAATGGGAAGGACTCAAGCTGTGATTCACCTGTCCATGAGAACTCTGATGCATCAAATATTCAGTGGGATGAAGATGGGGACCTGGATGTGGTGAGAAGGCCCAGATACCCCACCTGTAACAGAGATGCAGTATGTCCCGTTATCCTCAGTCAATCTGCAGTGACGCTGACCGACCAGAATGAAGATTCTGAGGAGGAGGATGGTGCCCGTGACATCATTAGGATTGGTGAGGGTTGCGTTAGAGATTTAAGTGATTTAATGGATTGTTTTGTCATATCGTATGACACCTTGCATCTCTTTAAATGTCTTCTAAACAGAGCATACTATGGCGACGTCTCTGGAGGATGTAGGGAAACAGGTGAGGACAGCAACGAATGGGTAATTGTACAGTACGTCTACTCTACTACATGTTCAAAGTTGTTGTTTTTCATTGCAGATCTGGCGTGGTGCTTTCCTATTGGCTGATTTCATCCTGGCACAAGCAAGCATGTTCAAAGCCGCTACTGTCCTTGAGCTTGGAGCTGGAACGGGACTGACCAGCATTGTCATGGCAATGGTGGCTAAAACGGTGTACTGCACAGGTGGTGATGTAATTGAGTTGATTTAGTAGTTTAAATAAAAAAAGTGCATTTTAAAACGAGCAAAAGTTGAGAATAATGGATCAGCGACTGTTCATGCTGATAATTCCCTTGCTAAAGGCTGTTATATATATTATATTATATATATATATATGTGTGTGTATATACACTCACCGGCCACTTTATTAGGTACCCCATGCTAGTAACGGGTTGGACCCCCTTTTGCCTTCAGAACTGCCTCAATTCTTCGTGGCATAGATTCAACAAGGTGCTGGAAGCATTCCTCAGGGAGTTTGGTCCATATTGACATGATGGCATCACACAGTTGCCGCAGATTTGTCGGCTGCACATCCATGATGCGAATCTCCCGTTCCACCACATCCCAAAGATGCTCTATTGGGTTGAGATCTGGTGACTGTGGAGGCCATTTTAGTACAGTGAACTCATTGTCATGTTCAAGAAACCAATTTGAAATGATTAGAGCTTTGTGACATGGTGGAAGTAGCCATCAGAGGATGGGTTCATGGTGGCCATAAAGGGATGGACATGGTCAGAAACAATGCTCAGGTAGGCCGTGGCATTTAAACGATGCCCAATTGGCACTAAGGGGCCTAAAGTGTGCCAGGAAAACATCCCCCACACCATTACACCACCACCACCAGCCTGCACAGTGGTAACAAGGCATGATGGTTCCATGTTCTCATTCTGTTTACGCCAAATTCTGACTCTAACATCTGAATGTCTCAACAGAAATCGAGACTCATCAGACCAGGCAACATTTTTCCAGTCTTCAACTGTTCAATTTTGGTGAGCTCTTGCAAATTGTAGCCTCTTTTTCCTATTTGTAGTGGAGATGAGTGGTACCCGGTGGAGTCTTCTGCTGTTGTAGCCCATCCGCCTCAAGGTTGTGCGTGTTGTGGCTTCACAAATGCTTTGCTGCATACCTTGGTTGTAACGAGTGGTTATTTCAGTCACTGTTGCCCTTCTATCAGCTCGAACCAGTCTGGCCATTCTCCTCTGACCTCTGGCATCAACAAGGCATTTCCGCCCACAGAACTGCCGCTCACTGGATGTTTTTTCTTTTTCGGACCATTCTCTGTAAACCCTAGAGATGGTTGTGCGTGAAAATCCCAGTAGATTAGCAGTTTCTGAAATACTCAGACCAGCCCTTCTGGCACCAACAATCATGCCACGTTCAAAGTCACTCAAATCAACTTTCTTCCCCATACTGATGCTCGGTTTGAACTGCAGGAGATTGTCTTGACCATGTCTACATGCCTAAATGCACTGAGTTGCCGCCATGTGATTGGCTGCTTAGAAATTAAGTGTTAATGAGCAGTTGGACAGGTGTACCTAATAAAGTGGCCGGTGAGTGTATATACAGTATATATAGCACATTTAATAATGGCAGGGCTGACCAAAGTGCTGCACAAGCAAGTAAATTAGAGTAATGGCAATAAAATCAGATCATATCATCACAATCACAAATTTGCAAGAGCAAAAAAAAAGAAAAATAGTAACAAGTAATACAATACATCAAACCCTACATTATGACCTCAGCAATGCTGTAACTCATTAACTCATAAGCTAATATAAAAATATACGTCTTAATCAAAGATTTCAAAACCTGTATAGAAGAGGAAGATCGTAAGTACGAGGGCAAGCTATTCCATAACCCTATTTCATAAGCTGAAAAAATGCTGATTTAACAACTGCATTTATTTGTTTATCAAATTTGAGTGTTGAATCAAAAATTACTCATACATTTCTTGCTTGAGAATTTACTGTGTTGATTATAAGGCTAAGACTTTTAGAAAGGATATTGTTACATTTAGATGGACCAAAAACTAACACTTCGGTTTTGGAGTTGTTCAATTGAAGAAGATTTTCCGCCATCCAGCTTTTAATATCGCTTAAACAGTCGAACAATCTCTTAAGGGACATGTTCTTATCTGATTTTAATCATCTGCATAACAATGATATGAAATCTGATGCTTACGAAAAATATTGGTTAATGGAAGCAGATGCAGGAACATCAAAACGGGGCCTAGAATAGAACCCAGCAGCACACACCACATGTACAAGCTGCAGAAAAGGAGAGGTTTTCAATAGCTACTGAAAAAGTTCATCCTTTAAGAAAGGCCGAAAACCAAAATAATGCTGATCCCCTAATTCCAACATACTGCTCAAAAAGTTTCACACTATTTGAATGATCACTTTTGTTTAAGGCTGCACTAAGGTCCAAAAGAACCAGAACGTCATCTGAATCAATACTCAGTTACAGATCATTCAACACTCTAAAACCAGACTGAAACCTGTCTAATTTTTTTCTAATAAAACCTTCTTCAGTACTTTAAAAAGAAAATGTAGTTTTTGAGATGGGACAATAATTAGTTCAAATTAGTAATGGGCCGAGATTAGCCTTTTTTTTAAGAACTGGCTGTATCACTGCATGTTTAAAACAGGATGGAACACAGCCATTAATAAGACAACTATTAACTGTATACACGGACCAATAGTGTCCAGCACTTCCACTATATGAGATGGAGGAAGAGGGTCCAAAGAATATGATACAGGTGGTTTAATTTGACAGATTATGTCAGTTAAGTGGGAAAGGGACACCCAGAATAGTCAGTCAGAATACAAGGATTACAATAATTGACTAAATTTATAATTTTTATTTTCAAATTAAATAATTGCAAATGGTTAATATTTTTGCTATCGTGCTCCATGCTCATGAACACTGAAAAAAATCCAGCTTTGTCAAAGGATGGTTTAGTAGCATTCGTACAATGGACAGTATCCATTCAGTGTCAAGAACCCCCCCCCCCCCAAAAAGAAAAAACATTTGGCAGTAGTGTGAAAGCAGTGATTGCCATGGTTTTTTTCTGATGATTGCTGCCATTTTCATTTTTTTCTGTACATTTTTTTAACAGCCAGGTTTCTTTGGAAAGAAGGTCACTTATTAGAGCCCTTTCTGCCTGTATGACTCTGGATTGATGTTATTAGATCAGTGGAAGTAGATAGAGCCGTCATTTTAAAGAGCTTGGGAAGGCTTAGTGTAGACAATAAACGACAGCATTATCTTCAAAGAGTCTCCAAGATTGCAGAACAAATCACACACAGGCACGTTGTAGATTTTATTCCCAGATGTTATTCTCGACAGACTTTTGTGTCAGTGTATATTCGTAGCGTATGGACAAAAGTTGCTCTTAGGTTTGTGACAAGACCTTTTTCATTTTCTGGAATGTTTGATAGAGAGAGAGAAACATTGATTTATAACTTCACTGTTGAGTAGACTGGAGAAGCCAGTGGTTTAATTGCTTTATGTGAATTGTTACAGTATTCATTAACACATTCCCTCCTTTGAGATTTGTGCTGGACCTTTTCTAAGTCCTCTCTTTATTTGACTTCCGCTGTTCGGGGAATTACAATAGATTATTGTGAGTTGGTAAAAATCTGGAAGGAGCCTTTAGGGCACCACTAGATTGTGATAAAAACAAATTTGCTAAATATGTATATGTTGCAGAAAGAAATGTTCATGCAAATCAGGCATGAACTGGATTAAAAGGTTTCATAGTCCACAAACACATTGGGCACTAGGGATGCACGAATATAATGGATGATGCCAATTAGCTGATTATTTTTATGTCGTGGCAATCAATTAATGACCAATTTCAAAATGCTGACATATTTTGTCTCAAGAAATAAAAAATAAAACTCTTAAAGTGAAAAATAAAGTCAGTCATGTGTGAATCCGAAGTGAATTTACATTATAACATTATAAATGTACAATATGAAAAATGTATATTCATTTTGAGATTTGCTTATAATTACATCTACCAGTGTTTTTTTATTGTTATTTATAATATATGATGTATATTTTTTTCATTCAAATTTGTTTTAATGACCTTTAAGTGGCCGTTTGATGATGGCAAAGGTAATCTACATGTAAAAATATGGGAAATGAGCGTGCACAATAAAATATTCAATATAGGCTGATAAGATTTTAAAAAATATCTCATATTGGCTGATGACTGATATGTAACTTGTATATTGTGCATCCCTGTTGGCCACTAAATAGAAATGTAAGTAATGTACATAACTCATTTACTCATGTCCACACATTGACTATTGGACTTTATTAAACCTTTTTATTTTGTCTCTTTTTAAATTTACACCAATAGTACGTTAGCATATCAGTGTAATGTAACTATCATTATATAATAAGACACTAATTTGTTTTCTCCTTTTTCAGTCTCATTTAGTATAATAGTCTCATCTTTCTTTTTAGTAGTCTTTTATACTGCGCCAATGTGTGAATTAGTCACAGTACATTTCAAAACATTTTAGCTTTGTGATTGGCTTCAGAAGATAAATAGCTTGTTATTATGGATGAAGGTTTTTAGCTCACTAAATGAAAGCCTCTTTGTGTTTTGTAGATGTTGGTGAAGACCTTCTGAACATGTGTCAGAGAAATGTGACTTTGAACAAGCAGCACTTTGAACCCCAAGGTAAACATTAACACCATATCAGGATTTCAAGCAGCGTTCTCTCATTAACGACAGCTTTTCATGTTGATAATGTGTCATAAGGTAGGAGTACTTCCTCTGGCAGAGCGCCTGTGCCATGTGCTCCTCGGTTTTGTGCCTCTGTAATTGTGTAAACAAACCATGCCAGTTCTTTAGTAAAATACAGCACAAGTAACACTGTGCAACACACACGGCAAACACTGATCCGTTTCATGCTGAAGAGCCTCAAAAAGCTAATTTATTCACATAATGTTCTGTCTTAATGTCAACATCATCATATGTGTAAACGAAAGAGTCTGTCAGGTAAAACATGAGCTCATTGATGTAATCCAATTGGTCTGCCATTTTATTCAAACCATCACTCCTCGTATAGGTGGCTTCCATAAATAGTTCAAGTGTCATTTTAAAAAATGAATTTCATACAAATTTGAAAATTGTATTTGCTCTTTTTCTTTCCTTCATCTTGATTTCCCGTCGAAACATCCATCAGAGAGCGAAATAAAGGTGCGCCAACTGGACTGGATGGCAGATGATTTCTGCACAGGTAAGAATTCAAGGAACATCAGGTGTGAGATGCTAATGGGTGTGGATCAGAGCCAGAACTGCGATCGTAACATGACCAGTTATATCTATTAGAGCTGTGCAGTCTCCTCACCTTCTGTAGAATCCATTTCTAAGTGGGAAGTATCGGCTATCTATGGGCGGTTGACACAGTATAATTCACAGGGCTTTCTCACACTCATAATACCAGTGATGCTGACTTGTGAAATAGGACTTCTGAAAGTCAACATGTGGTTGTCATCTCATTTCACCTCATATTTCAACTCTCCCCAGATGCTGATTTGGAGTTCTGCTGGACTGACGCAGAAGTAGCAGACTTGCATGATAATACCACGGTTTTGATCGCAGCAGATGGTACATTTGCAAGGAGTGCTTTTCATAATTATACAATGAATTCATTACCTTACTACAAACTGGAGAGAGTATTAACGTCGTACTGAATGAATTACTGAAGATGCTCTCAGTGAGCATGATAAAAGCCTGATTGATGGAAATTTTTTATTTTTTAACAATGTTTTGTACTTCCCCTTCAGTGTGCTATGATGACGATCTTACAGACGCTCTGTTCAGAATACTATATAGACTTTCCAGCAACATGCGGCACCCCAGCACATCCTACATCTCCATAGAAAAGAGGTTAGAATGGCCTGTTACCAAGACATTCAAATCAGTCACGTATCCTTGTAGCTCATTTTTTCCATTCACATTCATCATTGTAACTGTCAGCAGTAATAAATTAAATTTAAATAAAATAATTAGTCCATAATTATTATTATACATTAGGTAAATCATTTAGCTATTATATATTTAGCTTAACAAAGTATGTTACTTTTAAATAAAATAATGAATACATGATAAAATAAATAGAACAATTCGTATACTTTAGGAAAATCATCTATTTTAATGAAATATATGATATTTATTTTTTAGTCAGAGAAAGATGATTTTGCCTCCAGATTGGTGTATTTATGGCATTTATCAGCAGTGGCTAACAGGGCCATGCTAACCAAGAAAAACCTAGACCTCTTGTTCCATTTTTAATGGTTTCTGTATTTTGAACTGTATTTCTGAATTCAGATTGAACTTCACTCTTCGACATATGGACGTGGCTTGTGAAGCTTATGATCACTTCCGTCACTGCCTAAACCAGTTACAGCAGATGACAGATGGAAAGATGAATTTCACGGTTGAGCCTGTGAAGATCTCCTTTTCACAGTTCTTTCAGTATGAAAGGGTGGACCAGCTGGTGAGAAGCACTTGTCTGTATTTATAATTATAAATAATTCAATCGTTTGTTTGTTTTTAAATATGTATCATATACAGTAGTATCAATCAATCATTTTATCTATAAAGCACAATGAAAACAATGGTGGTTGAACATTTGTGCCATTAGAGGGAGCTGTTCATGCTTGTAGTAAATTGTGTTCTGATTAACAGTGTCAAAATGTATTTCATTAAGGATTCTATCCTCTGCTCCTCTGCAGGAACTTTGGAAGGTGACAGCAGAAAGACTTTAATTTGTAACACCACAGGTTTTTAAGTTTCCTTTTAACACCATGTTTGCAGAATGAATTTGTCTTTGTAATTCCTATTTTCCTTATAATGTGAAATTCAAAGGCTTAAGTTTGATAATTTGCTCTTAAATTGTTCATTAAAAACTACAATTATAAAGGAATGCCATTTCAGACGAGAATGTTGGTGCTTATGCATGTTATACTGTGACCAGCTTGAATTTTTAGAGTTGGTTTGGGGCAAGTTTTTCAAAGAATCATTGGGAGAGCTTATGGAAATTCTTTTGACATTTTATGAAATGTTGAAAACAAACACAAATTTATTGTGATTGAGGTTATATAATATTATTACTACCTATGCCAAAAATGTGTGTCACCAAATATAAATTGTAAGATACTGAAGAGCATCATGCAAATATATTTATTTATTCATTTTATGACCTAAACTGTAGATATTTGTAGATCTTTACATTTGCATCCAATACATTAAAAAATATATGCATCGTGTGTGTGTGCGTGTGCGCGTGCATAGAATAGAATAAGTGAGTTTTTAGGTGCAACAGGGAAGAAATGACTCACTGTATGACAACATATTGAGTATCGTGGTATAGCAATACTTTTTGGGACAAGAATGTCACTGTGGCACCAAGTATCACAATACTTATTTACTTGATATTTTAATGTTTTTATTTTGGTACATCTACACTGATACGATGACGATACTATGTTAAAAGTGCTGAACACCACAATATGGAACACAACCTTGTTTTGGGATTTCTCGGACCTACATATGTGCAATTTATGACTTTTGAAGGCCAAAAAATGGATAAGAAATGGCTTTAAAACCATGTCGGTGGGCATTAGATTAGTTTGTCAATACCTGCTCTCTCATCTCCATCTTTATTTTTCTCTCAGTCTCCTTATCCTGCCCTATTTCTTCCCCTCCTAAAGCTGAACTTTGACTGATAGTCTTTTAATTTTCGTCTGTGTCCGTGAATAAAGTAAACATAGGCTCAACAACTGATTTATGAATCACTTTCTGAGACAAGGTAATTTACTCAAGGCTACAGGAAAGCTCTGTACCTAGGAAAGTCAGTAGGCCTACCTATAGGAACCTTACAAGCTTTGGAATTTGAAGACTACGTTTAATTATAGGCTACGTTTACCGCAGTTGGTGTAATTGGCCGACGTTCCTTAGGCATCATGCGCTGTGAAACGCGTCAAAGCATTCTCCGGTATATAAATATGCAGCATTAAAGCACGTAGGTGATTTTGAATTAATATTTCATGTCGACAATGGTTACATAATGTTACAAAACTAATCCTGCTATTGATAGTCTATGTTTGTAAGACTGCCGATCCTAGAACAGTGGAAAGGGAAAACAAATGTCCAGCGAATATCGAACCTAAAACTAACTTAACCGCGCTCAACCACCGTGAGTGCATTTCACGCATTAAAGTAATCTTTGGCGTTCAGCGGGGAGGGGAGGAAGGACTTTGTCTGCATGCGTGAACCGGCGTAGATGCACTCAAATCAGACAGGAGAACAGTGACTGAGACGTCGGGAAGTGTGTTTGTGACATAAGCCGCGTTTCCACCGCAGGAACTTTACCCAGGAACTAGGAACTTTGGCCTGGTACTCGGTGTGTTTACACCGCAGGAACCAGGGTCTAAATGAAGTTCCGGGTAGATATTTCCCCCTCCGAAAGTCCCTGCTCGCGAGGTAGTACTTTTTCAAAGTTCAGGAACTTTCGCGGGTGGGGCTTGTGCGCTGAACATGCTGATTGGTTGTGTTCACGCCGCATTATGATTGGATAACTCCGCGCAGCATTTTATTTTAACCGGAATTTTTAGAATCTATTGCAGTTCGTGGCTTCATGCAGTAATGAAGTTCCATGCAGTAAGAGTTGTCTGTCTGCAAATATGGAATTTAATAAAAATAAAAAAGGCAGCTGGACCGACGACGAGATTCAGGCTTTATTAAGCGTATTTGCGGAAGAGAAATTTTCTGCGCGTTCGTCCCAGCCTTCTCACGGTCAATGTCCGCAATAGCTGATAACATACGCTGTCTAATTTTAGATCTAACGTTAGCATTACGAGCTTTCTGAACACGCTTTAGTATCAGTGCTCGTCTCTTTTCTGCCGTTTTGTTAATTACCTGGTTAGTAAACCAATACATCTCAAACAACTGCAGCACAGTGTGAATCTCTTCCATATTTATTATAAATGTGGCGCTCAAAACTGATTACTGTCTTTTACAGTCTACTGTCCGTCACAAGCAAGCAATGAGCAGTCGCGCGCAGTTTACCCGGTACTTTAGACCGCGATGTAAACGCAGAAAGCTACCGGTCTGGGGCAAAAAAAGTTCCTGGGAGAAAAGTTCCTGGGACAAATTGTTCCGGGCAATTGCGGTGGAAACGCGGCTTATAGAGGGTTTGTGACGGCGGGCGCAGGGGGTGATATTCAGGGTTCTAAATTAACTTTTTTGATCACCAGCCAATGTGGCTGGTAACTTTCTAAAGTTACCAGCCATTTAGAATTTCCACTAGCCAAATTTTTTCCGGTGAAAATAAGAGAAATTATGAGTGCCACTGAATGCATTTGATCATTTTATTAACATTGTTGGCATGAAAAACACATATAAAGTACAATACAACACAGAAAGTGCAAACATTTCATTTCAAGTTTGGGATCTATCTATCTATCTATTAGGGATGTACACGAATATTCAAATTTTCGATCTGTAATTAGAAAGACATTAGAAAGACAAATTTCCACTTGTGGACAATAAAGGAACTAAACTAAACTAAACATTATTATTCAAAAAATAAAATACTATTCGAATTTTTTTTCGCAGTTATAATTAAATACACTGGGTGGAGCATTTAACAAGTGGATTGTATTTGATCACATAATGTCGTTGTCTGCCTCGCGAAGTTTGGAATTACTTCAATGAAAATGATAGCCTATTACAAAATGGAATTACTTTTAATCAATTATTAATTAAACTGAGTTATCATAATATCACCACACCACAATGAGAAATCACATGAAATCCAAAGAAACAGCAGTCGACTGAGGAAGCAGCTGTCCATCACTGCATTAACGACTGGCAGCTGTACCCCGATATCTTCTGCTAGCAAAATGATTTTGAGACATGCTTCCTTTAAGTTTCGTTGAGGGATGCAGGTTTAAGAACAGAAAATGCAAAGTGCTGTTACTTCACTTTGCACACACACACACACACACACGCGTCTCTGCAACGTCTGTGTCAGTTTGTTCAGAAATAATGACAAAAACCTTAAACTTAAAAAAATAGCGTAGGCTATCTCTCGTTAAACGACATTTAAATTTAAGTCTGTCCCAACCACCGCCGCATTTAGTTTAATCTTAACTTTTTACTTTAGCTACTTTACTAGCTCCCTCCTCTTTCAGTCTATGCTCTCTGCTCTGGCTCCGTTCGTTCTTCATCTTCCTTGTGTTTTCTGGTAGATGGACGCGTACGTTTCATACGTTTGTTTCCATGATCATTTCTCGCGCTGGTTCTCTTACGAGAGGTTCTCTCGTATTGCGTAAGCTAGCTTACGCTACGGGAAAGATTCATCTTTTCTGAGAAATTGAAGGCAAAAATTATCCTATAATTTTGTATCTATTGTCAACGCAGTTCAGCTGCAGCAGAGCATGAGCAGGCTAGCTAGCAGCTCATTGGCTCGCTCACAGGGAACTGCTTAAGCCTATGAGGAGACACGAATGAACTCTCGGCCAATGAGAGACTGACCTGCTCTCATTGCGTCAGAGCCCGCCGAAACGGGCGTGGTCAGAGAGTATAAATTCGCCTCTCAGGCTGTAAATTCTGATTTTCATCTCTTCAGCGAGGCTACACGCATCTGCTGATCCTGAGAGAAGCCGCCGTCGTAGAAAAGGCACCTTCTAGCGAGCATCTGGGAGACTGAGGAAGCCGGCCGTCTTCGCCACCTTCAGCCGTCCTGCAAGCTAGCGCCATCCGACGGATTCATATCCTTTAATCAAAAGCTTCTTGTTTTGTGTGTGTGTGTATCTAAAAGAGCCGAGCGTCTTTGTAAAGATGTCTCGTTTTTCCTCCTGCGGTTCTTGCCGCGCTCCCCTCGAGACTGGAGACCGCCACGTCATCTGCGCTCTCTGCCTCGGATTGGAGCACGCCGAGCTCGCCCTCGCCGATGGCGGCTGCGATCTCTGCGAGGAGATGCCGTTATCGACCCTGCGGGCTCGACTTCAGGCCACAAAAGCTGCTTCCGCGCCGCCTTCGACTTCGCCGCGTAAGAAGAAACGCCGCTCGCAAAGGCCGCCGGAACCCCAGCCAGAAGCGTTCATCCCGCCGGAGCCTGTCGCCTCCCGCTCTCCTTCTCCGCCGCTTCCGGACATACAGTTGCCGCCGAGTGGCCGCTCTGTCGCCTCCGACGACGCCGCGGACATCAAGGAGACATGTTCGCTTCTCGCTTCAGACAGTGAGGATTGGTCCGGTTCTCACGCCTCTTCGGCCCGAGAATCCTCTAGGACCCGCGCTGGAATTGAGGAGGAATTAGTGCGCCTCCTCTCACAGGCCGTCGAACGCCTCGGGCTCGATTGGTCTCCTCCCCCCGAGCAGACCATCAACCGCATGGACGGCAGCTATTTCCGCCAGCGCTCGACTCCCGTCACTAAACGGGCCGCGCCCTTCTTGCCCGAACTGCACGCGGAACTCACAAAGTCCTGGAATGCCCCGCTCTCTGCCAGAACTCGCTCCGACTCTTCCGCCCCGCTTCGCGTTGTGGACGGAGCCGCAGAAAAGGGCTATCTTTCCATTCCCCCTGTAGAGGACCTGGTCGCCGCACATCTGTGCCCGCCCTCCACGAGATGGCGCTCATCACCTGTGCTTCCTTCTAAAGCCTGCAGAGCGACTTCGAGCTTCCACGCGCGCGCTTACTCAGCCGCCGGCCAATTCACCACTTAGCGTTACGCTTCAAAGCGTGGGAAGCTATTCCGGGAATTTCCCGCTGGGTGCTAAACACAATAAGGCTAGGCTATCGCTTACAGTTTCACCGCCGCCCTCCATGTTTCCGAGCTCGGCGAGAGACTACTGTGAACCCAGAAGCAGTGACTCTGCTCCGTTCAGAGATAGCGAAACTATTGTGCAAAAGGGCTATAGAGAGAGTCCCTCTATCTA